ATGGACTAAAACACTGTTGCATGTATTGGTAGTTCACTCAAAGGAACTAATTTCTGATTGCAAGATTTCAGATATGGTAATCCCCAGGAGAGGAAAGCACACTTTTTATTATTATTGTTATGAATAGGACCTTCCCAGGCTGCTTGAGTTGTTCTGATCCTGGTCCCACTTCAAAGCAGGGGAGGCTGAGTGATGTCACGCTGAACTGGGCCCCAAATGGGCTCCAAGCACAAGAAGTTGTTGGAGGGACTGAGTCACTCCCAGCCCAAGCGAGTGATGGAAAGGGCAGATTAGTTGTGGAACCTGGTCTCATGGAAGGCTTCTCCCTCCCAGACTGAATTTCCTTCTTTGCTGAATACAGAGGACTGCCCTGCATGGCTTTCTTCATTAGAGAAAGCTACGAGAAGCTTTGAGCTCCTCCAAGTAAACTGTTTCGTACTCTCAAACAGGCTGTTAATGATGATGATTAATAATAAATTAAGCAAAAGAAGGCCAGGTGCGGTAGTGGCTCATGCCTGTAATCCCAGCACTTTGGGAGGCCGAGGCAGTTGGATCACTTGAGGTCAGGAGTTCGAGACCAGCCTGACCAACATGGTGAAACCCCATGTCTACTAAAAATACAAAAATAAATAAATAAATAAATAAATAGCCAGGCGTAGTGGCGCATGCCTGTAATCCCAGCTACTCAGGAAGCTGAGGCAGGGGAATCACTTGAACCCAGGAGGTGGAGGTTGCAGTGAGCCGAGATTGTGCCACTGCACTCCAGCCTGGGCAACAAGAGTGAAACTCCATCTCAAAAAGTATATATAATAATAATAATAATAATAATAAATTAAGCAAAAGGAAAGGAAAGGATGAAGTTAGCATGCTGTGGTTGACAGAATAATTTTACATCCTAGAAAATAAATGAAATGAAATTACACTTTTCAATGTAAAAACATTGTGTGTCCTAGGAAAAAGGCAGATGTGTCCTAACCGCTCCTGACTGCACACATATGCAATTTACAATTGTGCTTTCTGAGCAGATTTGGAGCTCTCCTGGGGCTTAGCTGACCTGGGTCTGGGTCTGGTCTCAGCACTCCTGCTAAACCCTCCTAGGGAAGGTGCTCGGGTTGACAGCTCTCTGGGCCTCGGCTTCCATGTCTGTAAACAAGATGCTTGGAGCACAAGTTCTCAAGTTACCTGGTGGCTCTTTATATTTTTAACCCTTTAAATCTTCAGATTTTTAGGGTTTTAACCCCATTGGTATAGCTTGGCCCTGAAGAGAGCAAGCGCACATTGCTGTGTGACAGACAGACCACTAAGGGGCGCTGCTTCCTCAGAGGAGGCGGGAGTTCGCTGCCTCCTCCCCATTCTCTCCTCTGAAGAAATGTCCACACTCATCAAAAGTGGTTGTGATAAAATGTTCAGGTTTGGAATGATGAGAAACACGGAAGCCAAATCATAGGACCTGATAGATATCTGGCCAACATAGGAACAGTGGAATATGTGATCTTTGTGACCATCCCCTCCCCAAGGCCAGATCGAACACCAACCCCTTGGCATACACTGACGTGAATTGCTTAATGATAGGAGGAAATACATTCTGAAAAATTTGTCATTAGGCGATTTTGTCTTTGTGCAAACATCACAGAGTGTACTTACGCAACCCTAGGGGGTACAGTTTACTACACTCCTAGGGTATATGGGATAGCCAGTTGCTCCTACGATACAGAGTTGTATAGCATATTCAGACTGTTCTGAATACCACAGGCATTTGTAACACAGTGGTAAGTATTTGCGTATCTAAACATAGCTAAACATAGAAAAGATACAGTTAAAAAAAAAAAAAAAAAAAGATAACGCCGGGCGTGGTGGCTCATGCCTGTAATCCCAGCACTTTGGGAGGCCGAGGCAGGCAGATCACGAGGTCAGGGATCGAGACCATCCTGGCCAATACGGTGAAACTTTGTCTCTACTAAAAATACTAAAAATTGCCGGGCGCGGTGGCTCAAGCCTGTAATCCCAGCACTTTGGGAGGCCGAGGCAGGCAGATCACGAGGTCAGGGATCGAGACCATCCTGGCCAATACGGTGAAACTTTGTCTCTACTAAAAATACTAAAAATTAGCCGGGTGTGGTGGCGGGCGCCTGTGGTCCCAGCTACTCTGGAGGCTGAGGCAGGAGAATGGCGTGAACCCGGGAGGCAGAGCTTGCAGCGAGCTGAGATCGCGTCAGTGCAGTCCAACCTGGGCGACCCAGCCAGACTCCGTCTCAAAATAAAAAAGACCGGTTTAGGGAGGGCATTTACCATGAAGGAAGCTTGCAGGACTGGAAGTTGCTTTGGCTGAGTCAGGCAGTGCGTGGTGAGTGAATGTACACTGTTCACTACTGTGGGCTTTATAGACACCGCACACTTAGACTACACTCAATGTATACACAAGATTTCTTTTTTCAACGATAAATTAGCCTGAGCTTACTGTAACTCTTTTACTTTATAAATGGCTTTTAAGACATTTTTTGACTCTTGTTAATAATGCTTAGCTTAAAACACACTTTCTACAGCTGTTCCAAATTGTTTTCTCGTATTCTGTAAGCTTTTTTCTATTTTTGAAATTATTTATTTTTGTCTGTGTTGTAAACTTCTTTGTTAAAAACTAAGACACAAACATGCATATTAGCCTAGGCCCACACAGGGTCATGATCATCAATGTCAGTCCTCCACCTCCACATCTTGGCCCACTGGAAAGGTCTTCAGGGGCGTTAACAGACATGGAGCTGTCATCTCCTAGGATAACAATGCCTTCTTCTGGGTACTTCTTGAAGGACCTGACTGAGGATGTTTTACAGTTAGGCTTTTTTTTTTTTTTTTTGAGAGAGAGTCTTGCTTTGTCACCCAGGCTGGAGTGCAGTGGTGTGATCTCGGCTCACTACAACCTCCACCTCCTGGGTTCAAGTGATTCTCCTACCTCAGCCTCCCGAGTAACTGGGATTACAGGCACCCGCCACCATGCCCAGGCTAATTTTTATATTTTTTTTTAGTAGAGACAGGGTTTCACCATGTTGGCCAGTCTGGTCTCTAACTCCCCACTACAGGTCATCCGCCCACCTTGGCCTCCCAAAGTGCTGGGATAACAGGCATGAGCCACTACACCTAGACAGTTTTTTTTAAAATAAGTAAAAGTGCACCCTAAAATAACAATTAAAAGTATAATATAGTAAACATATAAGCCAGCACCACAGTGATTTATTATTATCAATTATTATGTACTGTACATAGTGACATGTGCTAGACTGTCATATGACTGGCAGCCTGTAGGTTGTTTACACTAGCATCACTATAAACACATGAATAATTTCTTGCACTACAATGTCACAACAGCTATGGTGTCAATAGCAGAGATAAATTTTTCAGCTCCATTATAACATTATGAGACCACCAAGTGATACGGGACAGCCGTCATATACCTGGACTATCTCGACTGAAATGTCATTATGCGTGACTATATTTCCAAATCACTTTCCCACACGGCTGGATCAGTGTTTGTTTGATTGGTTAGTTGATTGGTTTCCCCATTTAATTTAACAAATAGACCACAAAGAACTCTTCTTCAGTTCTATAAATTTAACTACTCGTTTCTGCATTTTTATTCATCTAAGTAATCATTACTAATACCTACTAAAATCACTCCGACTTTCCCACTTCATCAGACGGGCCTTCCCTAGCCACCCCCGCTGGACTAGCACCTGAGCCTCCTTCACCTTCTGTCCTCCTCACCAGCTTTAGTTTTCTCTGTAGCACTCCGTCACCACCCGACTCCCACATTTCCTCATTTCTGTGTCTTTGTGTCTTGTCAGTCTCCTACCCTGGCATATAAGCAGCATGAAGACACAGACCGGCTACAGCATTCGCTGGGCCTCCCTGGAGCCTCAGCCTGTGCCTACTGGGACATGCTATGCTTCTTTCAATCTAAGTCTGCCCAGACTGGTAGGAGAGTGATTTGGTAAGAGAGTGCAAAAGCCAAGGGAAAAAAAAAAGAAAAAATAGCCTCTAGCCTTTGACTCAGTAATCACATTCTGGGAATGGATCCTAATGCAGTAATTCACATGAGCCCTGGGGATGGGGGGGGATGGGGTGGGCTGGAGGCGTTGCCTTCCCTCTCCCTGTGTGGGGTCTGAAGCCCTGAGGGACAAGGAGTCACTGTGCCCTCCTCCAAGATACCCTCCTCACAATGCAACATTTATTGTACAAGTACCATACCAGGGACTGTTCTGAGCCCATTCAGTCCTTTTACTCCTGTGGAGCTGTTTTTTTCTTTTCTTTTTTTTTTTTTTTTTTAACAGGTATCACTTTGTCACCCAGGCTGGAGGGCCGTGGCGTGATTTCAGCTCAAATGCAGCCTTGACTTCCTGGGCTCAAGCAGTCCTTCTGCCCCAGCCCCCCAAGTAGCTAGGACTACAAGCTCGCACCACCATGCCTGGCTAATTTTTATATTTTTTGTAGAGACAGGGTTTTGCCATGTTGCCCAGGCTGGTCTCAAACTCCTGGACTCAAGCAACCCACCCACCTTGGCCCCCCACAGTGCTGAGATTACAAGCGCGAGCCACCCCACCCAACCTCTTAGGAGCATTTTGAGTGAGGCGCTTCGTACAGATGAAGCATGTGAAGGAAAATGGAGTTCACATCAATGAACTCCATCAGTGGAGCCAAGATGTGAACCCAGGTCCCCTGACTGCACAAGCATGCCCTGAACTCATTGTACGACTCTGCCTCTGCAGCAGTGCAGGACCTGAGTGGTGGAGGTGGCAGGGTGGGAGGTGTATCCAGACTTACAGACATAAGGCATACCACCATCATTTTGTTTCATCTGGGACAAGAGTCTACTGCTGTCCTGAAGTAGTCTCCTAGGTCTTCATTTCAGCTCAACAAAAGTGCATCAATAAACCACCCAGTGCAAGCTTCAAATACTTTACTCATTTTCTCTTGGAAGTGAGGACATGGTGAGGCAGAGATGGACTTACTGAGGCCTCCAGTGTGGGCCATTAATAATCGCTGGAGGGGTCAAGCTCCTTTTGGTTCTCCCAGCTCGGTCATTCACCGGCTCTGTGATGCTGGGAAAATCACTTCTCTGGGCCTGGGCTTTTTCATCTGTAACAATTAGCAGAAACCACACTGTACCCAATCAATAAATATTACTTTCAAAGGATAATTGTCATGGTGTAATTTACACTAGCAAAAAGCTGTAAACAACTGAATATCCAATAATGGAGAAATGACTCCATTGTACAATAATTTCAGACCAGAACTGTCTAAAACCATTAAAAATTACATTGAAAAATGAACACAAAATGATATGGTTAAAAAAAAAAAAATCAGAGGCCAGGTGCAGTGGCTCATGTCTGTAACCCCAGCACTTTGGGAGGCAGAGGTGGGTGGATCACTTGAAACCAGGAGTTCGAGGCCAGCCCGGCCAGCATGGTGAAACCCTGTCTTTACTAAAAATACAAAAATTAGGCACGCATGGTAGTGCATGCCTGTAATCCCAGCTACTCGGGAGGCTGAGACAGACATGAGAATCGCCTGAACCTGGGAGGCGGAGGTTGCAGTGAGCCAAGATTGCGCCACTGAACTCCAGCTTGGGAGTCAGAGCTAGATTATGTCTCCAAAAAAAAAAAAAAAAAAAAAAAAATCAGGCATCACTACAATTTGGTTGAACAAATATTCTGAAGGAAATACCCAAACAGTAGGGTATTTATGGGTGATAAGACACCAGCGTGACAATTTCTTCCTTATATTTTTACATATTTTCTGAATATTTCAAAAGAAGTTTGCTTTTCTTTGTAACAGACAAAGATTATTTACAACGTTGGTCTCTTTTCATTTTCTACCTTATTGGTGAATGCTTTAGCAGGAGGGCATTGGACTAGAAGTGAAAGGATGGGAGATGGGGAAAGCGGAAAGCCCAGTTTCACTAGCATTTATTGAGCATCTGGTATATCCAGGCACTGTGTAGGGTGTGACAGCTGAGTGAAAGCTCAATAACCAGGCATTACTGTACAGAGAAGACAAGGGAATGTCATGTTCAAAGGCCCTGGGGTGTGAAATAGAAGGCTTATAGGAGCACAGAAAGTAGGGCCCAGCGGGAGAGGTGAGATGGGGTTGGGAGATGGGCAGGCTGGAAATGCCCCAGAGGCCCTGTCAGCTTAATCAAGGGATTCAGATTACATTTTGAGGACCCTGGAGCCACGGAGGATTTTTATTTTTTTATTTTTTTATTTTTATTTTTTTTTGAGATGGAGTCTTGCTCACCGCCCAGGCTGGAGTGCAGTGGCGCGATCTCGGCTCACTGCAAGCTCCGCCTCCCGGGTTCACGCCATTCTCCTGTCTCAGCCTCCCGAGTAGCTGGGACTACAGGCTGAAATTTTATTTGGTGTATTCAGTTCTATACAATTTTATCACCTGTGTGGTTTTCTGTATCTCAAGATACTGAACAATTCCACCACCACAAAGATCCCTCCCTCTGCCTTTGATAACTACACCCCCTTCCTCTGACTCTTTCTTTCCCTCTACTGCCCACCAGAGCCAGAGACTCATCAGTGGGGAGGATAAGGAGGCGGCAACGGGAGAGCCTGGGAGAGCTCACAGGGGTCAAGGTTTGGGGCCTGCCTGGTTAGCTATGGCCATGGGAATGTCCAGGTGAAAGTCCTTCTGGGGCCAATGGATTTAAATATCCGTGGCTTAGGAGAGAAGCACGGGCTGGAGGTGAGATTTGGGAAGGGTTTGTCTAGTCAGGGGGTGCAGTAAGAGAGGACTGAGAAAGGAGCTGCCTTTCAGGTGACAGTCCGCTTCGGCACAGGGGTCCCTTGTTTTGCAGCTAGCTGCCTCCTTGGGCCTGGCAAAGCCCTGGTGTTGCTTAAGGAGCCCTGGAGGGCTCTCCCAGCGTGCCCATCCCCCACCCAGGAGCCTCAGAGCCAGGCACAGGAGGTCCTTCTGCACAATGGCCACCCGTTAGCTGTGTCCTGTTCAGTCCCCAAGCACAGGGCTTGTTAATCCCAGCCCTGCCATTCCAGGAAGGACTCCAGAGGTCACGGAATCCAAAGCGTTGAATTTACAAAGAAGAAAACTAGTCCTGGGAGGAGAGGCTAGGCCAAGCCCATAGATGTGATCTGCTGGCCGAAAGGGGGCTGTTTGTTTACTCGTTCAGGATCGGTTTTCCCCCTACAGGAAAAGGGAGGTGAAACCCAGGCGAGATGGATGCAAGTTTCTCAACACTTTCATTCGGCAGCTTTAACTGAGCGTGTACTATGTGCCAGGGAGGGCCAGGGTTTTCGGGATAGGAGGTGAACAAGGCACGGGCCCTAAGGCTGCTGGATAAGGGCATCGAAGGGTTAAATTCTGGGAGCGCTGCGTGGGGGAAGGGGTAGAGGAATCTCCCGAGGAAAGGCCCCCTTCCCGGCTTCTCAGGCTCCGGAAACTCAGGCGCGAGGAGCCTGGGAAGGGCTGCCCCGCAGGCCTTGGCCTCCCCCGCGGAGCTCCCTCTGGCGCTGGGAGGGGCCGCTCTCGAATTACAACAAAAGAGGCTGGAGGCCGGGCCTTCAGCGGCAGCCGCCTTCGGGGAAGGAGGTGGGTCCGGGGAGGGGTTTGCCATCCTCCTCTGGTTAAAAGTAAGGGGGAAAAGAGTAAACGCGCGACTCCTGCGCGCGGCTACCTGCAGTTGGTGCTTGCTTTCTCCAGCCATCGAAGACCTCAGCCGCCTCCTCTGCTGGGGAAAGGGGCTCCGTGGCGGCTGAAGCAGAGGGAGACCACCGTGGAGAGCGCGGTCCCAGCCGGGCCACTGCGGATCCCTGAAACCAAGTAAGAGCGCTTCCCGCGCCACCCCCTCCCCGAAGCGGTTCGCGAGAAAGCGGGAGCGTCCCTGTGGGGTCTCCAGGCTTCGCCCTGCGCGGGGCTGCCTCTCGAAAGTGCCTGGCGGTTCCCGAAGACTTCTTGTGGGGAGCAATGAGAGGACGTGCAGGCTAAAGGGTTCTCCTGCGGCCCCGGGCGGCCCCGCCCAGCTCCACCTCGTCAGGGCCGGGTGCGGCGCGGCTGCTGGCGCGCCCGGGGAGTGAGGCGCTGGATCCCTTGATCGTCCCGAGAGCCCGTAGTCAGGCGGGACACAGCCAGTCGAGTCTCGGTGCGTGTTGGGCGTCTTGGAGAGTGCAGCGTGGCTCCAGGGACAGCGTCTTCCGAGTTCTGGCTTTGAGGAGTTGGGCACGCGGGGCGACGGGGCGTGGGACAGTGGGTGCCCTCGGGGCTGTGGTTTTGGGGATGTAGAGCGTGCTGGGCTGGGACGGAGTAGGGGCGGGAAGACGGGGGCTGCGCCCGGGAGCTGTAGCGCCCACTGCCTGAACCCGGTTCAACCCCCAGCCTGCCCGAAAGGCTGTTGGGAGCGCGGGAGCGCCCTGAGTCCTGCGGGAGCAGAGGCGCGCTCGGCACGCCAGGTATGCACTCCCAAGTCTCCCTGGCTCTCCGGGGACCAGGGACCCTTTCCCGCCACATACCGAGAAGCCCTGGAGTTGGAAAGAACGGGCACGAGCGAACCCACGGCTACAGCTGATCCTAATCTTGCGCCGTTGGTTCCGCGGTCCCCAGTGCCTACAACTTTTACGCAGGAGCTTTGCCCACCGCGTCGCTTCTCACCAACCCAGATCTGGAAGCCTTCCAGGTATAGCTGCCTGCCTGAAGTGTCCCAGGAATCAGCGCTGGAATAGAGATGATTGGGAGAAACAAGCGAGGTTCCCTCCTCTTCGTGCCCGGGCTAAGACCCATCAAAAAACTGCAGGAGTGCGGGGCGGAGCTAGGGTGAGAGGAAGAGAACACCGCAGAACTCGGCGAGGGAGGGGGCTGAACTACTCGATATGGTTAGGAAACTCCAAGCCCTGATGAGGGGAGAGATGTGCATGACAGAAACATGCTCCAAATTAGTTTCGTCCCTAAGATCTTGAAACTGCGGAGATCTCAAAACCAGTACTTTTTTTTTTTTTTTTTTTACTCCCAGAGGAAGAAAAACGATGAGACTCAGGGCCACTGGGTTAGTCAGTGTGGGGACTGAAACAGTACCTCTTACTCCAGGCCCCTCCCCTACACCACCGCTAGCCTGTGTGTTCTGGAACCCCAAAACACCTTTTGTCATCTTTGGTGGAATGAATTAGTTATTGATGGTGTATCGTGTACTTAATGGTCAGGGGTGGGGTTTAGGATGGAAGAGGAAGAGTTCATTTCCCTGGGCAGCTCCCAGGTAAGTGACTGACTAACTGCATCCTAACTTGACTAAATTTTTAATCTCTCTCCTCACCTTTGTCCCATTCCTCTTTCTGGTCCCTAACATCTGCCCTGGAATGGCCATCAGACCCATGACAAAATGCATGCGCCTCATGGGTCCCTGGTGGCTACCAGTGCTCTCCCCAAGAAAATTGAGTCACTAATCTGTGTGTGTGTGTATATGTGTGTGTGTGTGCGCGCGGGCACGTTTGTGTATGCATGTGTGCACGTGTATGTGTGCGCACATGTATGTGTGCGCGCGTGTGCCCACACGTGTGTTTGTGTATATATGTGCACTGGTGTGTTTATGTGCACACATGGGTGTATATGTGTGTGCAAGTGTGTGTATGTGTATGTGCATGTGTGTGCTTATGTGGTCCTGTGTGCACACTTGTATGTGTATTTGTGTGCATGTTTGCGTGCATGTTTGCATGTGTGTGTGCGCGCACGTGTATTCCTGTGTGCATGTTTGCATGTTTATGTGTGTGCATATGCATTCCTGTATGCATGTGTGTGCACACCTGTATGTGTGTGTATGTGTATTGGTGTTTGTGTGCATGTTTGCATATGTATGAGTTTGCATGCGTGTGTGCACTTGTGTGTATGAGTGCATATGTATGCATGTGTGTGTATGTATATGTGTGTGCATGCACGTGCATTTGCTTCCCTGTAAGTTTGTGTTAGAAAGTGACTTAGTCTAAGGTCACTTAGGCATTGAGTGACAAAATTGAGTATGAAACTCAGGTCTGAAAAGGAAACATGTACTTGACATCACACATTGGCTGACATTTTAAGCATCACAGATAGGAGATTCTGCAAAGATGCTTCTATTTATTTTCTTTCCAACTGGGCTCCTTGCCTGGCCTCTCCTGGCCTCTTCCCAAGTCCTTGTCCTTTGACCTCTAGATGGCCAGTGTGGAAGGGCTTTGTGAAGGAAACAGATTTTCTGTGCTCTGGACATGACCATCAGCGAAGGTGTTGAGTCCCAGAAAACACTACATTGTTTACTTTTTATTCAAAAAAAATTTCAAGTATGCAGAAAGGTACAGAGAAGGGTGTAATGATGCCTCATAAGCTTCTCACTGAGTTTCAACAGCGATTTTGCCACATGTATGTCATCTGTCCCTTTCTCTGTCATTGAAGTAGTTTAAAGCAAATCCCATACATCATGTCATTTCGTTGCTACGTATTTTAGTGTGATTTCTAAAGATATTAAATAACTATGATGTTATCTTTAGACCTAAGAAAACTAAAAAAAAAAAAACTATTTGGTATCATCTAATGCCAGATAGCAGTCTATATTTAAACATTTCCCAATTTTCCCCAAAATGTCTTTTTTTATAGTCGATCTGAGTTCTGTTGATTTGTGTAACTTGTTACATTCCTATTGTATGTTATTCCTTTCAAACCACTTTTCTGTCCACGATGTCATTTGATTCTCACAAGGTCCCACTAAAGAGTTAGGTGGGTATTTTCAAATTCATTTCTCAGCTGAGGAAATGGGTAAACAGATAAGCTGTCCAGAGGGCACAGCTGGTGACCCAGGGAGCCAGGGTCTAACCCAGCCTCCCCAGCCTCCTCATGGCTGGGCTTTGGTGGTTCTGGTTCTCCAGGTTACTCATGGACTCTCAGCTGCTCTCTGAAGAGTTCTTCTTGGCTCAGGCTTCATCCTGGACTTATCACTTCCTATACACCTGCTGTCAGAAATCCCTGTGTAAATATTTAGTAATTGGACATTTGGTGCTTGAGATAAATGAACTGCAAAGTCAGGAAGCCAGGGTTTGTTTCCTAGCTCATTGCAAAACTGTAAGAGCTCAGAGCTGCCCTTTCTGAACTGGAGAGCAGTATACTTCCTCATTATTTGACTCCAAGGTATAAAAATAGGATGAGTGAATTGACTGTTGCTGGGATTCCTGGAAGAAACAAAGGCCCCAGAAAGAAATCTGGTAGAGGACAATCTCCCTTCTTTGAGCGTCACCTGAGTACTCTGACAGCTGGTACCTTCATGCTGAAGCCCTCAAATCCTATGACAGAGAAGTGGGGGTATGTAGGCTTCCCATTGAAATCATTAGTTTATGCACAACTTTATTCTGCATTTGACCAATGAAGATATGTAACACCTGATATGGCTTGGCTGTGCCCCCACCCAAATCTCATCTTGAATTGTAGCTGCCATAATTCCCATGTGTTGTAGGAAGGACCCGATGAAAGGTAATTGAATCATGGGGATAGATCTTTCCCCAGTTGTTCCTGTGGTAGTGAGTAAATCTCATGAGATATGATGGTTTTATAAATAGGAGTCCCCCTGCACATGCTCTCTTGCCTGCCACCGTGTAAGACGTGCCTTTGCTCTTCCTTTGTCCTCTGCCATGATTGTGAGGCCTCCCCAGCCATGTGGCATTGTGAGTCCATTAAACCTCCTTCCTTTACAAAGTACCCAGTCTCAGGTATGTCTTTATTAGCAGCATGAGAACAGACTAATACAACACCAGAGCCTTCTGCTTTTAGCATTTTCATTACTTATGTTTATTTGCTTTTGAAATGCAGTGATGGAGAAATTTCTCCCCCTTGTTAATGAGACTCGTAGAGTTGGAATTCTCCTTTCTTGGCAGGTCATGTGGGAAAAAGAATTCCCTTTTCACAGGATTCCTAGATGTTCTGCTGTTATGCTTGTTGCTTTGAAATAGGGAATGAACCGACCTTCCATAAAATAGCCAGTTAGAGGCAGAGAAACTGGTCAACCCAATTCCATTCAACTGGAAGAACTGCAAAGTGGCAAGACATTAACCTTAAACCACCCTGCCTTCTGACGGTCATAGATTGTTTTTCCTTAGCTAATAGGCTGTCTTCATGGAGGAAGAATTTCTAGGTGATTCCACACCAGCAGCTGCAGTTGCACAAGCATGACTGCTTCCTTCATTTTAAAGTTTGGGGAGCCTTAGGAGGTATTTTAGTCCATTTTCTGTTGCTTATAACAGAATACCTGAAACTTGGTAGTTTATTAAACAAAAGGAATTTAGTTCTTACAGTTATGGAGACTGAGAAGTCCAAAGTCCAGGAGCTGTATCTGGTGAGGGCCTTCTTGCTGGTGGGGACTTGGCATAATCCCAAGGTGATGCAGGACATCACATCGTGAGGGGGCTGAGCATGGTAACATGCTAGCTCAAGTCTCTCTTCCTCTTGTAAAGCCACCAATTCCCTTCTGTTGATAACCCATTCATCTATTAATTGATGAATGGATTCATCAGTTTATGAGGGCAGAGCACTCATGACTCAACCACCTCTTAAAGGCCCCACCTCTCAAAACTGCCACATTGGGGATTAAATTTCAACATGAATTTTTTTGGAGGGACACGTATTCAAACCACAGCAGGAGATATGATTTCCCGTTCCCAGGGGCTGCCTGGCTTTAAATGAGCAGCTTGTTACTGTCACCATCCATTTCCTCCTGGAGAAAGGCTTTTGTGGTCGGTCTGCATGGCATTCACACCCTGGGTGGTCCATGAGGCCTCAGATGAAGTGGCCTGCTCTAGGCTCACAGAATAGCAGGGAATAGCAGTTGCAGGCTAGAAAAGGAAGGGCCAACCAGACATTCACAGAGATGCAGCCAGAGCAACACACAGCTGAGTCTCTTAAGTCTTCAGTCCTGTGTAAGTTGAAGCAAGACATCAGAAATCTCTCACCTGAGTAATTCCACACATGCACCCACTGCTGTTCAACACAGCACTTGCTCAGCAGGGAACACATCTTAGCTAAGCGTGTTGGCAGCCCTTCTTCCGTGACCAGCGTCAGGGACGTCTCTAGGCACCTTTTCAGAATAGCTGGCAACATAGGGAGACCCCGTCTCTACAAAAAAAGAAAAAAAAATTAGCCAGGCGTGGTATAGTCCCAGCTACTCGGGAGGCTGAGGCAGGAAGATTGCTTTAGCCCAGGAGGTCAAGGTTGTAGTGTACTCCAGTCTGGGCAACAGAGTGGGACCCTGTCTCAAAAACAAACTAAGAAAGAATAGCCACTTGATTGATGATGATAAAGGATGATGGGGACTGTTCAGTTCAGATTTCTGTCCAGAGTTTTAACAAATCTTTTGCACTTCCTGTGGCAGTAACAATATTACCAGACAAGTAGCGTGTGTGGCAGATGAGAACAAGAACTAAGCAGATGCTGAGGGTGTGGTTAGGAACACAGTTAGTAGGTTCTTCTTGTCCAGGGCTTTTGATCCATTCACTTGGGATACCTTA